GTCAGTTACAGACCAGCAAACTGAGGCAGCGCGGTAATTTGGAAGAGGCCTTCTGCCACCTTAAAGCTCAAATGACTCTTCTCTCCCTGTTATTTTTAACCTGTTCTAGAAAGTGTTTTCGTGTAACCTAGCTTGTTCAGTTAGAGGATAGTCCCCTGTAAACTTCAGCGACCAAGGTATCTTAGGACTTTTAGCTCAGGATTTCCTGGCATTGGTGTTTTTTTATTCGGTGGGTTGCTACCAAGGTGGACCCTTTCGGGACAGGCACGTGTGCTCTCTGGTTTGTCTCTGTCACTCTTGTTGCTCAGGTTGCTGGCACACTGTAGAGTTCCACTTTTCTTTTTTCGTTTCTTTTTTTTAAGATTTTATTTATTTATTTGAGAGGCAGGCAGAGAGAGAGAGGAGGAAGCAGGCTCCCTGCTGAGCAGAGAGCCCGATGCGGGGCTGGATCCCAGGACCCTGAGATCATGACCTGAGCCGAAGGCAGAGGCTTTAACCCACTTAGCCACCCAGGTGTCCCAAGTTCCACTTTTCTAACTTTGTAAGTGTCGGAGCCAGTAAACAAAGCTAGCTGGGGGGCCCCGTCCCCGTCCCACTGCACTGGCTGCCGTGTCCTGTCTTCAGCAAACTACTCGCTGAAAAGCTAAAACACACTTAAGTCCCGTAGAACTGACCACATCAGATTGGGTAGCGTTTAGGGCAACTGCAGTGATTCTTGGAAAAGCCTCGAATAGTAAACAGTGGCGGTTTTGTGAGGCTCAGGTGAAGGGAGCAGTTAATGGGCTGGGTTAGCTGTTCCCACATTTCTAGCTTTTAAAACACTGCTTGCCAGGCGCCTGGGTGGCTCAGTGGGTTGAGCCTCTGCCTTCGGCTCAGGTCATGATCTCAGGGTCCTGGGACTGAGCCCTGCATCAGGTTCTCTGCTCGGCAGGTAACCTGCTTCCTCCTCTCTCTCTGCCTGCCTCTCTGCCTGCTTGTGATCTCTGTCTGTCAAGTAAATAAATAGAATCTTTAAAATACTGCTTGCCTGGGACACCCGGGTGGCTCAGCGAGGAACCTGCTTCTCCCTGTGCTGGTGCGCATGGGCGCTTGCTCTCTGACAAATAAAATCTTTTAAATAAAACAAAGTACTGCTTCCCTGAAATGGGATTCTTTCATCTTCCCAAAGCCAGGGCTGGCTTCCTACCCAACTGCTTTCTTCTCAGTGTCCCGGTCATCTGATGAGCTCAGCCACCCCCAGGCGGCATTCCTTATCTGGACTCCGCTGGCGCCCTGAACTCAGAGCCGGGACCCTGCACTCTCAGGCCTGCATCCAGCGGCCCACGTAAGGGCATCCCACGTGCCCCTTGAGCACGCCTTCCTACCTCTGTTTTCCTTGATTCATCAGACGTACACCTGCTGAATTTATCAGTTTTTCTTCACCTTCTCCTTAAATTTCTAAAAATCATTGTAGCTATTGGCCGTGTGTGTGCGTGTGCGCGCTCGCATATATACGCAGACACACCTGCATGTGTGCTCAGTTACTTGTGTTTATATGTCCTGCTCACTTGTGAGCTGCCTGAGGGCAGGGGACTGTTTTCTGCCAGATGTTTAGTAAATGTTGAATAAATGAATTTAAGCTTATTAAAATTATAATTTATCCTGTGTTTTGATGGTTTTCCAAATGTTTATACTTACACCGTATCTTACATACTCCGTGTTCAGTCTCAAAGAGTTTTTTTTTTTTTTTTAAAGATTTTATTTATTTATTTGACAGAGAGAGAGATCACAAGTAGGCAGAGAGGCAGGCAGAGAGAGAGGGAGAAGCAGGCTCCCCGCCGAGCAGAGAGCCCGATGTGGGGCTCGATCCCAGGACCCCGAGATCATGACCCGAGCCGAAGGCAGAGGCTTTAACCCACTGAGCCACCCAGGCGCCCCTCAAAGAGTATCTTACTGAAAAAATTTTAGGGTTTAGGGGCACCCGGGTGGCTCAGTACGTTAAGCAGCCAACTCTTGATTTCAGCTCAGAGCATGATCTCGGGGTCGTGGGATCGAGCCCCATGTTGGGCTCCTCATTCAGCAGGGAGGCTGCTTGAGATTCCCTGCCCCTCCCTCAGCGCTTGTGCGCCCGCACACCTGCGCGTGCTCTGGCTCTCTCTCTAGTAAATAAATCTTTAAAAAGAAGAAAATATAGCCACCTGGGTGGCTAGCAGGTTAAGCACTTGCCTTCAGCTCAGGTCATGATCCCACAGTCCCACAATTGAGCCCCACATTGAGCTTCTTGCTCAGCAGGGAGCTTGCTTCTGCCTCGCTCTCTCTCAAATAAATTTTTAAAAGTATTTTAGGGTTTAAGATTATCGAGAAAAGAACAGTGGTGTTGCAAAGAGTACGGAAGTGCAAAAATAAGTCGATTTACTAAACTTTGTGGGGTGGGAGTGGGAGTGGGAGCCAGTGGAATGCAGTTCTCTGGAAAACAAAACAGGATTTCTTACCCGGAAAAGTTCTGAGTCACTAAACTTAAAAAATTTTAGCCATCTAAGAATTAGGTCATGATTTGGTGCTGCTAAAAACGGGTCTTAAAGAATAATATTTATCAGGAAAGATGGGGAATTTCTTTCATGATATTTCTAGCAAACTGTGGGTCAAAAACTAAGTTACTTTCCATGACTTGTACTGGTGCTTGCCCTATAGAAAGGATGACTTTGAGCAGATCTTTGTTGTGAGGAGAGTCCTTTAAAATATTTCAATGTCTCCATAAAAAGAAACGCCACCTCCCTCTTTTGAATTTTTTTTCCCTCCTGTGTTCTGCAAACCTTACGAACATCTTCAGACCCACAGTGGACACTGTTAGAGTGACAGGGTTCGAGTTTGCTTTATCTTTAGGTGTGCATCTTTCGTGTTGAAGCCTCTGGGGCTCTCGGGAGAGCAGGGCGGTTCTCACTGCCCTGCAAGCCACCGCTCCCTGCAGATCGAGCATGGAAGCCATGATGTCTGTACGTGCCATATTCAGATCTCTCCATCTGCTTTTTTTTTAGAGCTGTTTGTTCCAGAATCAAAGATGACATGTAGCATTGGTTGTCATGTTTCATTGGTCCCCCCTGCCTTTCTTGTCTGTCATGATCCGTGCCAGGATACAGGGCACACGGACAGCTCAGGCCATTGATGAGCCTTGCCTGAATCAGCCCCACTACGGTAGTGGGTACAGAGGAGAGGATTTCTTTCTTCTTTCCTTTCCTTTCCTTCCTTCCTTTCTTTATTAATTTCCTTTTTTCTCTCTTTCTTTCTTTTTAGATTATTTGAGAGTGGGCACGAGAAGGGGAGAGCAGAGGGCGAGGGACAGGCAGACTCCGCGCTGAGTGCAGAGCCCGACGCGGGGGTCAGGACCCAGAGATCATGACCTGAGCCAAAGTCAGACGCTTAGTCAACTGAGCCCAGGCACCCCAAGAGCAGTGGTTTCTTCTTACATGACTCCTTCTACATTTATGCGTTGACATTCTTACTGATGGAAGGAAGAGCTCCCCTTCCCGTTCATTCATTTTATGAACTATTTAATTTTTTTTTTTTAAAGATTTTATTTATCTATTTGACAGATCACAAGTAAGCAGAGAGGCAGGCAGAGAGAGAGGAGGAAGCAGGCTCCCCACTGAGCAGAGAGCCCGACGCGGGGCTCGATCCCAGGACCCTGAGATCATGACCTGAGCCGAAGGCAGAGGCTTTAACCCACTGAGCCACCCAGGCGCCCCTTTATGAACGATTTTAGAGCAGTTTTATGTTCACAGCGAAACTGATCAGAAAATACAGTTCCAGGGGTCTGGGTGGTGCAGTTGCTTGAGTGTCCGCCCCTTGGTTTCCCCTCAGGTCCTCGTCTCAGGGTCAGGAGATTGAGCCCCCCAGGGAGTCAGTCTCCTGACTCTCTTCGCTGTTCTTCCTCTGCCCCCACCCCCGTCTCGCTCACTCTCTTAAAGAAATCAATCTTTGGCGGAGGGAGAAGAAAACCCGTTTCCTGCGTCCACCTTGCACATGCACAGGAGCACAGACAGCCCCGCCGTCAACACCTACACTGACCGTGTCGTCACGCACAGTCCGTGGTTTACGTTGGGTTCACTCTTGGTATCGGACGTCCTGTGGGCCTGACGAACGTATAGTAGTAGCCCCAGCTTATTCTTCCGTGTCTGTAGGACATTTTGAGCCTCGGGTTGCAGGTGTGATGAGTGGGGTAACATGTGTACCATGTGCCGGGTATGAGGCACCATAATCTGTTACTTCCCAGTAACTAAGCTTTGTTGATTAGTATTACCTAACACTAACCCAGTTTTACAAATAAACAAAGCTTAGAGAAACAGTAACTCCTTAAGGTCAGATGGTGAGGTAAGTTTGTGGCCGAGCTGGGATTCAAACCAGAAAGAACCTTTACAGATGAGCGAGGAGCTGTGGTAGAGTCTGGCTCCTGCCTTTGCCATTTTTGAGCCGCGTCACCGTAGACAGATCAACCTTTGTTGTTACAGGGGAGGAATGGCATCGAGGTTTACATGGATTCGTAGTAGCCCTTGAGGACCGGTGAGGTCGCGCGGGCAGTGGTGGAGAGTGTATGTTCGTAGCACTTGCTGTACAACAGCTCAGGTTTTCTTGAGACTGCGTGGGTCATGGCAGCTCTGGGGCCCTTCCGGAGCACAGTGTGCCGACTGCGGAGGGTTCGCTTCGGCCTGGGTGAGGACGACCAGGCGCAAGGTTTTAGGATATAAACCGTTTGCAGACACAGAGTCCATGTAAATAGGTAACCAGTTCTGTTCGGATTTGCAGGGAAACGTGTGTTTATCTAGGTTCTGTGCTTGCATGGACATTTCTGTCACCAAAAAATGGGCCCCTGGTCATGAAGGATGTTTTGGGATACTCTTGATAATTTCACGCCGCTGTTGTACGTTCCAGTGGAGCGGTTTCCCTGGGTGGTGTGGCTGAGCCGAAGACGTCCTTGTTCCCTGCTCGGGGGCGAGTAGACTTGAATCCTGTCTGTTTCCCTCCAGGTCCCGCGGCAGTGCTGGTGGCCATGGTTCCCGCAGCCAGAAGGAGCTGCCCACAGAGCCCCCCTACACAGCATATGTAGGAAATCTACCTTTTAATACAGTTCAGGGCGACATAGATGCTATCTTTAAGGATCTCAGCATAAGAAGTGTACGGCTAGTCAGAGACAAAGATACAGACAAATTTAAAGGTGAGTTTGGGGGAATTCTTACTGTGCATTTTTGTAGAGGGGGCTTGAAACCACAATCTTAGAGAACCAGAGGGCTCCAGTTATCAAAGTGTTTTAAATATTTGTCGGAGTAGCTGAAATAAACGCAGCCCTTTAACCCACGGGCTTTCTGTCCTACCAGGGGGTGTTTTACTCGTGCTCTGATCCGTAGAAACACACAGTATATGTACGCCCGAGTCAGCCAGCTGTTTGCCTGACCCAGCCGCGCTGTCTGTGCTGGTCAGGGAGGTCCCTGGGAGGGAAACGAGCAGATAAAATGGAGGACTCGGCAGGTGCATTTCACCTTGGCCCGGCTATGGCATTTTGCTTTGAAGTTTTCCTGTAATCTAGGTATTTGTATAGAATTCAGAAGAAAACCTAATACGTTCTGTCACTACATTGGTGACTTTGGAGTTTGTGTGTGGGAGAGGGCTGGCTCAGATTTCAGATAAAGTTAGTGTCTTTGGGGCGCTTGAGTGGGAAAGCAGTAAGAAGGGAGAGTCAGAGGAGCATGATCTCCAAGTTTTCAGGAGTCCCTGAGGGGAGACGTGCTCCCTGAGACATGCTCCCTGAGAGCACCGTGCGAGAGCATTTGCTCTACGTTATTGATCGAGAAGAACATCCGGGGAAGGTGCGGAGTGACGTCCGGCGAGGGAGAGGGGTGAGAAGCAGGGGTTTCGCTCATCTGAGCAGTTCTGTGTGCAGGCAGTACTTGGATCATGTTGAAAGTTTTTTGGCTTTAGAGCCTGAAGCCTTACGACAGGAATGGCCCAAACAATGAAAACAAACCTGTCCGATCGGCTTGTGAAAGTAAGGCCCATCAGTGTCCCTCCTAGAGGCACCAGGAGTTCTGGGCTTCAGGGGAGATGGGGGGGTGGGGGGAGCCTTTGGGCTGAGTCAGCGGAAGCACGTTTCAGTTTGTCTCCTAGAGGTTTATCCTCCCTTTCAGCCGCTCTGAAGGGTGGGATGGGTGAGTTGGCTTTTGTTGGCCTCTTTGAACTTGTGGGGTGGATTCCTCGAATACTGTAGACATTGAATCCGCTTGAGTGGGGATGGTGGGGACCCTCCAGCCAAGCAGTGGGTTCTTTTTGTAAGTTACTGGTGAGCAGATGGTGAACAGGACAAGTTTGGACCCAAGTCTTGGGAGCACTTGCGGTCCAGTGGGCTTTGAAGGGGAAGTGTAGTCATGGCACAGGGCGCGGTGCGAGCACATCGGGGCGGGGGGTGTGCTTAAGCCCAGAGTTAGTCTTCTTTCCAAGGAAGGGCCTTGGAAAGAGTGGTGGAGGGAGAGGGAGGAGCTAATGCAGGGGTTGGACGTGAGGAAGTGTGGTTTCCTCTGCCTGGAATGTTGTGTTTACAGTCCCACAGCGGAAGCTGGCATCAGGGACACAGATTGTGGGTACACGTGCTTGGACCCGGGCCATCTGTTTTTCAGTGAGCGTTGCACGGAGGATGCCCTTGTCACTGAGGGTGTATTTTTTAGCTTTATAAAACTGCTTTTGTACCAGCCACCTGAGGAGTAAGTCGTAGGCATCTTCAGCCTGTTCCTTCAAAGCACGTTTGCTGTTGACTTCGAAATCTGTCTTAAAGCCCCAGTTGGGTTCTGTTAAAGTTACTCAAAAGTCAGAACGAACAGATCTTCACAATGACCCAGGAAAGGTTTTAAGATGATCGTTAAAACTCCTAAAAAGAAAGTTTTATAAAAACACAGCTGCCTAAATAAAGAAAATCTTAAAAAAAAAAAAATCCAGCTGTCAAATATTTCGGAGAACATAACCGCGAAGAAGGGATGCCACGTATTTTCTGTTCACCAAAAAAATACAGTCTTTCTTCGGGGCTCTCCTAGTCCCCTAGATGCACCAGAGTGGGGAAATGGACCAGGCAGGGAGCCCCCCTGCCTTAACCCAGAATTCCTTGAGGAAATTGGGGTTTGTTTCTCTTGCAGGATTCTGCTATGTAGAATTTGATGAGGTGGATTCCCTTAAGGAAGCCTTGACATACGATGGTGCGGTAAGTATCTTCTGCTTTTCTGTGCGTGTTAGAAGTCTCGATGTTTTTTTCTTGCCGGTACTTACACTGTTTTCCCCTTACCATTAGCTGTTGGGTGATCGGTCACTTCGTGTGGACATTGCAGAAGGCAGAAAACAAGATAAAGGTGGCTTCGGATTCAGGAAAGGAGGACCAGATGACAGAGGTGATTGGTTCTTCTGTAACTTGAACGTAAAACTTGCTGTACGCCTGCTGATGACAGCTCTCGGAGGTTACTAATAGAACTGTCTCACGGGTCTGATAGGTTTTTGCGAGCTTCTAAACACCAGTAAAAATCCTGAGAGAGAATGGGCCATACTTCTGTGAGCCTGGGGCATTTCAGTTTTTTGTTTTGTTTCTGTTGGAGGCAAGAACTCTTCTCTTAACTCCTGTGAGTTTCTCATCGCGTGAGTTGTCATCTTTCGGTGAATTTTTCCGTGTTTGTGCAGCAAGGTAATGGTACAGCCTCAGCTTTTCTGGTGTGTATCTCAGGAATGGGTGACCCTGGAGAATCTAGGGGTGGGTGGGATCCCCCGGGATGACTTCCTTTCTGGGATCAGCATTTACAGTATTGCCATTTACCTTTTGCAGTGGCCTTGCTGTGAGCAGCCTGGCCAGACCACTCCATTAGCTCATGGTGTAGGTGACCTTTTCCTGAAAGGTCTCCAGGCGAGCACCCAGCCTCTGTCGGCAGCGGAGTGTGTGGGATAGGACCGGAGAAGCTCCCCGCTGTGGGCCGGTGGACTGAGCCATGGCCCGGCTCGGCCTTGCCTCAGCCTGCAGTTCTCGTCGGCGCCTTCATCTCAGGAGCCCCCTGGGCGGCGCGGGTGTGCACGGACACATGGAAGCACGCTTGCCTCCAGAACTACTTGCAGGAATAGTCCGGAGGCTTTGGAAGCTTACGGGAGGCCTCGTGTCACTATGATTCTTGGTGGCCCCCTCTTGCGTGGTTGAAGTCGTGGAACTCCGCTCCCTCCTTGGTGGGCCAGATCCACTTCACTGTTGTCTTAACTGACCCGGGGCCGCATGGCTCCCCTCATGAGGTCGATTTGCATGTCGGGCCTCTGCTTTGAAGGGCTGATCTCCTAAACATTTCTTAAACTCTATGTTGTTTGTTGTGGTGGTTTTTGTTTTTAGTTAAATAACTCACACAGGTAATAAAAATGGCAGTTGTCATAGAATGGTAAAACCATGAGAAACAAGTCTGTCATCTTTCCTATGAATTCTGCTCTCCCCAGGGTCTCCTAAGATAACATCAGTGTCCCCACCCACCCTGTTTCACCCTCCCCTCTCCCCATCAAACCAAATTGAGCATAAAGTATTTGGTGAGTATGGGAAGAAGTAGGACAAGCTGTTGTAGACCAAAATTCTTTAACATTCTTTTCAGTCCCACTAGAACTAAACAGATTACTGCTTATGTCCGTTGCATAACTCGGTTTCTTACAGCCAGTCAGAAATGAGCTTATTCATAAAAATACAGTCTGATCCAGTAAACCTGTAATTTTACGTATAAGCTGGTCTCTGATTGAAACACGCCGCAGAGGCCTTGCAGACTCCCTCCAGGTGCAGCCGTTAGTGGCCTGAGGAGTAGTGGTCTCGGACCTGCCAGTTTTGGATTCCTGGTACTGGTGGAACAGCCGTCGAGCTTGTGACTTGGGAAGCGTGGAGGTTACCTAAGGAACAGTCGCCTTAGTTGGATTTTTCCTGTCGGAAGCTGAGAACACAGACAGAGGCTGCCTCGACACCCGGCAGGGCCCATGTCCCACGGCAGGGTTTTGGTGGTCTTTAAAACCACATGTGCCCACACAGCGGAGTTAATGCCTATATGCGTTATTTGTGAAAATCGTCTTTTTTTTTGCTCTTTAAAAGAACGTTATTTTTATTTACTTTTTTATTTTTTAAAGATTTTATTTATTTATTTGACAGAGAGAGATCACAAGTAGGAAGAGAAGCAGGCAGGGAGAGAGGAGGAAGCAGGCTCCCCGCTGAGCAGAGAGCCCAATGCTATGCATGGGGCTGGATCCTAGGACCCTGGGATCGTGACCTGAGCCGAAGGCAGAGGCTTAACCTCGGGAGCCACCCAGGTGCCCCGAACGTTGCTGTTTTTAAAATCACACGTGCTTGTTACAAAAAAAAGACTCAAGCAATACAAAATACAAAGAAGAAAGCAAATAAAGTCCCACCACCAGAAGTAGCCTGTGCGTTAAACTTTGTTTAAAAAAAAACCTTACAAGGTTCTCAAGAATGCTGTGCTGCCTAAAAACATCTGTCTCCACACTTAATTAAATGGCATTCTTGAGTGCCAGACCTTGCTTTAAACTTCATCCTCTTCCCTGCTCCTTATCAGAAGAGATTTTGAAAAAAGGTTGTCACTTGCCATTCATGGGCTCCGGTTTTTCCTCTGCCAAACCCTGCCTCGCGCTCCTGGACAGAGCGGTTGTGTGTCTCTGCCTTGTCGGTGGGAGTGGGAGCTGACCTGTGTTGCACACTGGTAGCAGGAATTACTCGTGTAGGGGAAGTGACTTCCGTACCCACGTGGGAAGGTGCGCTTCCTAGTTTATTGGAGGAAAGTGTCAGGCTGAGTGTTTGAATACCGGTTATGCTCATTTAACCAACACTGTGAGCTCTGGTTCGAAGGATTCTGTAAAGAATCTTACCCCAGCTGTATGCCTCCCAGTGCGTTTTGCCCATCTCAGTGCTCCGGTTGGCCCGAATCTGTTTGAAATCGTTTTCATTTCTTGTTAAAATTGACGTTGTCCGACTGTTTCTGAGCCGGGTTTCGGGTAACTTGATCTCTGCCCCAGTCCCTTGGCCGCCCTTGCAAACATCGTATTCTCCACATTCAAGGGAGTTAGGGTTAAAAGCCTTGAGAACCCCAGGTGAGCAGACACCAGACCATTGCCCCCGGGGCAAGAGGCAGGGTCAGCGTCCTGAGAGTCTCTGGTCATGACGCTTTTGTCCGCCGATCAGCACATACCTTCTGCTGTGGATTTCTGTTTGAAAGACCCTTACTTCACCTTATTTCACGTGTGCTCTTGATTTGTGGTTCATCCGACCATGAACTCACAGCAGCCAGGACGCCGCCCGAGTGGAGCTGACCTAACGCAATTTTCCAGATGGGGTGTGGGACCGCCTCCTTGCGCTGCGAAGACTGGGCGACCCTGCCACGCTCCAGCCGGGGGCCGCTTAAAACAGTGCGGCCGCCAGAAAACCTGGCACCAAACAGATTGAAAAGACAGAGTCTGAGCTGAAACAAGAAGGCCAAGCATTGCCTCCGTTCAGCCTTAGCTGCAGGACACACGTCGGGGCGCTTGGGGGCTCAGTCGCTAAGCGTCTGCCTTTGACTCTGGCCATGATCCCAGAGTCCCGGGATCGAGCCCCGCATCGGGCTCTCTGCTCAGCGGGGAGTCTGCTTCTCTCTGCCTGCCTCTCTGCCTGCTTGTGATCTCTGTCAAATAAATAAAATCCTTATAAAACAAAACAAAAATATATAAATAAAAGGCTGCTTAGCTCAACCCCCCTCTAGATGGAAGTGTTTCAGTGAAATGTGAACCTAGAGAAAAGTTGAGGCTGTTAAAGCCTGCGGAGAAAATCCTCTCCACCCGGCTGAGCCGCGTCTGGCTCTGCAGCACTGGGGAGGAGGCGCAGCTCCCAGCAGGCCCCGGGAGCCCGGCCGTCCTCTCCTCCACAGCGGAGCAGGTGTGCGGGTGGGGGGCGAGGTGCCCCGTGCCCCGGTGCGCCCCCCTCTTACGGGGGCGAGCCCAGCACATACGTGCTTGGTTGACAACACAGGTGCCTGCATTTGCGCTGTATTTCACAAAAGCTGCCGATGTTGGATGAACTAAAGAATTTCAGACCAAACCGGCTGCGTGGGCAGCTCTGAGCCAGTAGCTGAGAAAGTAACGCAGTGTCCCCTTCCTTCTTCAGGCTTCAGGGATGACTTCTTAGGAGGCAGGGGCGGGAGTCGCCCCGGTGACCGGCGAACGGGCCCGCCGATGGGGAGTCGGTTCAGAGACGGCCCTCCCCTCCGAGGGTCCAACATGGACTTCAGAGAACCCACAGAAGGTAGGACGCTGCTTCCTCCCCGGAGGGTGTCTAGCCGGGGTGCGCTGGCTGTGCCCCCCCCCCCACAGGCCTTCCCGTGCCCCAGGCAGTGGCTTCTGTGGCCCAGCCCGTAGTCTTAAGTAGCGAGCTGACCTACGATGTTCGGGGCGCGCTGGGTCTTCGTGGCTGGCTTGCTGGTTAGGAAGCAGGCCGAGTCGGGGCTGGGGGGCAGGGGGGCCGCAGGCGGGCCATTTCACCCGCACGGGGAAGGGGTCCGTTCTCGGTCAACCATGTTGGCTTTTGTCCCGCAGAGGAAAGAGCACAGAGGCCGCGGCTGCAGCTGAAGCCTCGCACCGTCGCAACGCCGCTCAATCAAGTAGCCAACCCCAACTCCGCCATCTTCGGGGGCGCCCGGCCCAGAGAGGAGGTCGTTCAGAAGGAGCAGGAATGAGCGCGCGGCGGGAGTGGGGTGCGGGGGGTTAGCGCGAGACCACAGCCCGGCCAGCCCCCGGCCGGCGCTCCTGCAGCCACCGTCCTGCGCCTGACCCCGTCCCCCTCTCACAGCGGAAACAGAGCTCGTGAGCGCATGTCGGCAGTTAACAAGTGGTTTTTAGTACATCCTTGGCTTTGCTGAACCTATCTCGTGCCTGTCTCGTGCTTGCTTTCTTTTTTTTCCTGCCACTCCTTGCCTCTCTCCCTTCTGTCCTCTCTCCTTCCTGCTCCTTGTTTCCTTCCTGCACATGAGCGTCTCCCGAGCGATGACGGCAGCCACCCGTGGGCGTTCTCTGGATGGAGGCGCTGCTCCATTTTTCTCCTGTGCTTTCTCTCTTTACTTTAGACGCACTGGCCAGACCCGGTGGTTTCTTTGAGTTTTCTCGGCGCTTCTCTCCTGACCTGCATGTTGAGTTGAGTTCTGTATTGCTGTGGCTTCCAAGGGGGGGAGACCAGGGAGGAAGTCACAGATTGGATAGCTTCTTGTTTTTATTCCGCTGTGATCAACATATACAGAATTTGAGGCACCTTGTTTCCAAAACAAGGATAAAATACCCGTTGATCCTTGAAAATTCCTTCTGTCCCTATTTATAAGCAGCCCTGTCTCTGCGGCTCCCTCGCTGCGGAGCTGACCCGAGCAGAAGAGGCTCCTCTCAAACGTGGAACCCGGAAGAAGGGGTAGCAGCGTGGCGGGCCGGAGAGGACCCGCCGAGCGCACCGCTGTGTTCACAGCCAGTGGTGTGCCTTCAGCACGCTGTGCGGGCTGGGTCCCTCCTTTCCGCCGGCCAGGGTGCTCTGGGGGGACCGAAGGGCGGCGGGCGGTGGCAGAGCCACACCGGGCTGCCCTGACCGCGTGGACGTGGCCGCTCCTCTGGTCCCCGCTGTGTGTGGAGCCCGCATCTCTCCCTTGTGTTCCTCTGTTCTTTGGTGTAGCAGCGAGCTCCTGGGCTTCCCGGCTTCCCTGGATTTTATAATGAAAACGGGCCTACAGTCTGGCACTTTACTGTTTTGCTTGATGAATTGAGGATTTTACTATGCAGAGCCGACAGGGACGTCCGGGTAGCCGGCGCTCAGCCACCGGGTCTCCTCTTGGGGGCAGAGCTGCTTGTCCCCACACAGTGAGTTCGGCACTTGGGGGGGGAGGGGGTGGCCGTGGCTTCGGAGCTGGAAAGCCTGCGCGTGAACAGCTCGGTTCTGCAGCGCCCAGTCCCGCTCCGGGCCGCGGGGAGCAGCTCGGGGCCGGCCAGCGGCTGGAGCCCGGGGAGGAGAGCCCCGCGCGCGTGCCCGCCGCGTCTCTGTCCCGGGGTCTCAGCAGTTACAGAACTCTCTCTCCTGTCCTTCCTTCCCCTGCCTCCTCTGCTTCTGAAATAAGAACCATTTGTGTGACACCAATGCTTAACTTACGAAAGACATGCATTATGTGGTTGTAGCCAGACCCGATGCTTTAGGTGACCTGCTTACATCTTCCGTGGGAAAAGATTAAGAACAAAACACATTCATCTAAACTTCTGGGCCACCCGGTTGACTTTTAAACGTAAGAACGGAATTCCAGACACTTCACACATTCAGCTATATGACCGAAAGGAAATCTATGGATATGGTATTTTGTGAATGATCTTTTAAATAAAAGAAAACCTTACGTAATATTTAATGCTTGTCCTTATTTTTGAGTTCTTTCCCGCTGCCCTCAACGTGAAATTGGCGCCGTTTTAAAGTCGGGAAGCGGCAGCCGAGTCTCGCGGCACAGGCTGCGGCTGCACGAGCCACGCGTCTCTTGCTTTGGGAACGTAGAGGAATCGTGAGATTCTTTGCAGAGCCAGTGATGATTAGAAGCAGCACACCAGGGTCTTCCCTTTTTTCCCTCACTTCCTAAGAACGTGATTTCCTGAACAGAGACCTTGTGTGCACAGGTGTGTGGCATGGTGTTTGATAAGGTTTTCAAGGCCGTTTCTGCCCAGAATGGGAGAAATCGCTGTTTGCACGAGGGGTCCCTGCTTTGAATAATGCTTGTGTTTAGCGGAAGTTCTGGGTGCTCCTGGGGACGGCGGTGGGGCCTGCTTCGTGGCCAGCGGGTGATAGGTTGTCGGGGGCACTGCTGGGCCGTTCTGTGGCCCAGGGGACAAGGTGCAGAGCTTTGCCGTGTCAGGGAGAGGCCCGGCTGGCGGCGAGGGTGCTGGCAGACGACTTGGCCTGCTGCAGGGAGGCGAGGCTTGCCGGCGGCTCACCCTGCAGGGGGAGGGCAGGCACTGTTCTGGTGCGAGCAAGCGTGGCTGTCCGTGTGGACTGCCCTCCTGCCCAGCCTGGAGGAGAGGACTTGATGCTCGCTGGTGTTTTCTCTAAGAGAGAGGGTCCCTGAGACCAAAAACCCTTTGCCCCACGTATCGTTGGGCCAGTGGCCGGAGGCTCGAAGCCCAGCTCCAGGAGGCTTCTTTTCAAAGGTCACTTGGATCCCAATTCTGAAGGGCCTGTGGCGGGTTCAGACCCTGGGGTCATCCGGGTTTCCAGAGGTTTCTTGGGACTGAAGCGCAACTCCCGTCCGGCTGTCTTCCTCCCTCTCTCTCCCTGTGACTTCCCCATGGGTGTGATCGGGACAAGCTCCTCTTTCTTGGCCCCTGGCGTTTGTGCCGTGCAAAGACGGCAGCTTAATACCCGCCTCCCATCCCGAAGTAACGGAATTGAGAGAGGAGGGTGTGTCTTTGCCCAAATCAGCACCTAAGCAAATGGGTTCATTTTCACAAAGGTTTGCGCACAGTATGAATGTTCCAGAGATAGGTTTCCGTCTGCATTGTTTTTGGGGTTTTTTTTGTCCCTGCTGTTTGGTTTTCTTTTTTTTTTAAAGATTTTATTTATGTGACAGACGCAGCGAGAGGGAACACAAGCAGGGGGAGTAGGCGGGAGAGGGAGAGAGAGAAGCAGGCTTCCTGCAAGCAGGGAGCCCAATGCGGAGCTCGATCCCAGGACCCTGGGATCACGACCTGAGCCGAAGGCAGAGGCTTTAACCCACGGAGCCCCCCAGGCGCCCCCCGTCCGCTGTTCTTAAACTGCCCTCAGAGAAACCAGATGTAGTGGGATGTCAAGCAGGGCCGTTTTAATAAGGGGCTCAGGTTTCTGAGAATGTTCTTACCTCAGAGCCCATCTTGTCAGGGGCCAGACTGTTTCTCCCAGTGCCAGGAGAGGAGAAGTTTGCATACCCAACTTCCAGAAGCCAGGGCTTCCCATCCTGACCGAATCGTCTTGTTCAGGGAGGTCCTAGCAGGAGGCAGAAAGGAGGAGGTCAGGAGACGTGCGTTCGGGTCCCAGGAGGGTGCTGGCATTGTGGCCTGGCCTCTGCTCCCAGTTCAGGATCTTCAGGAAGGGCCTGGCTTTCTCGCTGAAGGAGGTTACTTGGTCGTCACTTGGGCGAGAACCAGTTTCCACCAGCCTCTAAAGGAGCTCCTGCTTGAGACTCCGTAGGAACAGATCATGTGGGCAGTGAGATGGTGCCCTGTGGCCCTTAAGGGTTCTTGCACCTGGTGGTTCCTATATTTTTCCGTTCTCTGTGCCCAACATGGGGCTTGAACTTAGGACTTTGGGATTCAGAGTCGCACGGTCCACCGACTGGGCCAGCCAGCACCCCCCGCCCCCCCCACCCGTTGCTTTAAAGCCTTCCTTACAACTGGCTCTTCTCACAAGTCCTTAAAATACTGTTGTTTCCTTCTGTCCTTTTCTCAGATTCCGCCCGGCTGCGGGGGTCATGTGGGGCCACTAGCCTGTGCAAGGTCTGCTCTCCGGGCGATCATCACGGCAGTAGGACCTGCTGGGGCCCATTGTCGTGCGCGGGGCTCCTTGGTCTCACGGAGAACGGGGCAGGCCTTCCGTGCCAGCCCCTCCTCCAGGTCTCGCCCTGTGGACTTCTCACCAGTGCTCTTACCGGGAAGTCCCGCGGGGAGGCAGACAGGGTGTCCCCTCCCGGAGCACCCTTGTCAGCCATCCTCAGTGTGTCACAGGTGGCTCTCCTGCCCTATGCTCCCCAGATCCGGTGTGCCCGGCACGCAGGGCCATGAAACGGCCCCCGGCTGCGGGGAGGCTGTGTGGCCGGCAGGTTGCGGCGGGGGCCGGGGGGGGCGTGCTCCTGGTGCTTCCTCGGGTCTGCCCTTTAGGTCCACAGGCTTCTAAATCCACACATCTTAGTTCCTTCTGCAGTTTTTGGCCATGAACATGAACCAAAATAACGTACTTGACTCTAACCTACTACTAATCTCTGCCCGCCTCCGCAGCCACCCCCAAGGTGCAAAATACCAAACACAAATGAAAGCACACTATTTCACAATGGCAAGTGGTGTTCCATTTGGAATTCTGTTCACGGTGGAAGGCAAGGTGACCATTAGTAACATCATTAGCGGCCCAGAAGCTTATCTTTCTGAATGGGACGGGGCGGGAGAGAAACGTGGGAAGCTTTTCAGGCAGCCCAGGGATTCTGCAAATAGCCACGATTCCCTTGGACTTGGTAGAGGGATTGCTGACATGCATTACCCTCTAGTCGAAATTAAGAGTGTGCTCACTAGATAACCTTTTTAAAGTACTCTCTCAAAATACAAATAAAATAAGAATGCTATCCTGCCGCACTAGCAGTCCCGGCTAGTAAGTCAAGATCACACGGAGGAAAAAAAAAAAAACAACACGCCCCCACGCCTGCCATCACGACCCGACAGACCAGTGGCTAGAGAGTTTGTGTCCTGCAGAGGAGCGTGTAAGTCGGAACTACACTTGGGGACTTCACTTGGGAATGGAATGTCCCCGTGTTCTAGAGCCCAGTGGTTCCCCTCCCTGGTATGAGCCCCAGAGAAAGCACATTCACAGCAGCAGAAGCTGTGTTCAGATGACGGAATGGCCCGGAGGCGCACACAGCATCGGGTCACAACGCAATAGAGGGAAAATAAGCCCGACGCGGTCAGATGGCCTGGTGCTCATAAAAAGTACAAACCACTTCAAGAACCTACCTACACCTAGAGGACAAAGCAAAAGAAGCAGGTCCTGAGGTCGGGGGAAGCAGAAGGATGAGGATACTCTAGGTTCCTTTGGGTAGTGAGTTCACAACCACAAATAAACGTCAGATTTGGCTCGGGAGGAGAGGGTAAACGGAGGCTCGTTGGCACCTTAAGACGTGGAGTTGGGGGTGGCAGAGATATGTGGGGCTCCAGGGCGTTCTAGAATGTCGTACACTCTTCGGTGATTTTTCTGAAAAAAAAAAAAAAAAATGGCACAGCGTCCCATCAGCCTTTAGGATATCTATGACCCCAGAAGACTCTCAGCTTGGAATTGCTGAGGTTTTAGAGCTGTCGCTTTGCTACCTGGGGATCTTGATTGGGTCCCGAGTGTGCGCACAGCCGGCCCCTTGGTGAGCTGAAAAGCCAGTGTGTCTGGAGTGATGACGGTTTGGGGATGGATGGTGGTGATGGTTGCACAACACTGGGAAGGTAATGGTACCAAATCATAAACGGTCATGAGAAACCTGTAATACAAAAAAAACTACTGAATTATAAAAAAAAAAAAAAATTGAAACCTTTGATGCAACTGGATGTGAACTGTCATTTTTCGAAGCCTATTTTCTAAGTCACAACTCTGACTTATAAATAACATAGGACCTTGGAGGACTTTGAAAATTGACCAGAAGGGGGACAGCCTCCTTTTTCCACGCAGGTACAAAAAGGTACAAAAATTATTGGAGATGGGAAACGGGCTTGGAGAGGGTCTGAGGGCTCCCAGGTCCCACTGCAAATTGACCTGGAGACTTTGCCAGTGGTGAGAGGTCACGTCTGCCATTGCCAAGGCCCAGGACAGAAGTCAGGCATAGGACAGCTCCTTCCCATCAGACGGGGAGCCTCTGTCAGTCTCTGCCACCTGGAAACCCCTGGGCAGGCACCCAGTCCAGGGGTCAAGGGGCACCAACGCCAGCCCACGTGAGTGGGGACTGGGCAGGTGGTCCCATCAGGAGGGCTGCTGGCGTGCACCCACCGACCTCCCTGCACTTGCGGGTGCTGGGAAGACAACAGACTGCAGACTGGGGTTCAAATCCAGCATAGCTTCCGTGGGCCTCCAGGCTCATCGCCTGGGTAAGTGACATCCAAGGGGCCAGTTACCAAGGGAACCGAATACAGCGTTGCCCGGCGTGGGGCAAGGGAGTGTGGCGGTGCCCGCACAGGTCTGGGAGTCAGCTGCAGGAGGATGAGGATAGGCGCCCGGGGCAAGGCCCACAGGATTTCCCACATCAAGGCCGGGCAGGTGCACTACCCTTCTTCCCCACGGGGTGGCAGCCCCGGGCAGCCCTGGCCCTGGCCCGCTGGTGCCTTTGGGGCTGGGCCTCCTGAGCCCTGGCCGCCCCGGACAGGCCGGAAGAGAAGCCCAGTCCTCCCGCCTGGGGAGGCGAGGGGCCCTGGGACCAGGAAGCCCAGGTCTGAAATGCCAGACTGATGGGGGTTTCCCTGGGGTCTCCTGGGAGTGTCGGTGCCACCAGGGGTTTGATGGCCTTGGGCCAGTCACTTACTGCCCAGTAACAGGAGACACGGAAGCGCCCCGTATGTTTATGGGCCCCCCCAGGAGCCGGCGATGGCAGGACTAGCAGCCGCAGGAGGGCGACTCTGGGAACTGTGGGGGAGGGGAGCAGGGGGGAGCCATGGCTCGTGGCTCGTTCCCCCCTTCTCCAGCCCTTCACCTCGCCTCCCCGTCCCGCTTCCTCTGACACGTGCCCTATGACATCTTTTTCTGTGTGTGTGTCTCTCTCCGGGCCTCTCCCTCTCCGGGTGTGTATGTGTGTGTTGGTGTGGGGTTCAGTGTGTGTCTGTCCGTGGCTTCCTGCTCTCTGGCCGCCTGTGTGTGTCCGAGGGCTCACCCCACTCCGCTCTCCCTCTCCCCGTCCCTCTGAGTGTCTCTTCCTCTTTGTGTGACTCAAGGTTCCGTGTGTGTGTGTGTGTGTGTGTGTGTGTGCGTGTGTCTGTCCGTGCGTCTGTCCTCTCTGAGCCTGGGCTGGTGTCTGTCTCTTGCTCTCGCCCCTCCGCCTGTCTCTCAGCGTCTCTCCCTGTCTCTGCGAGTGTCTCTGCGGCCCCGTCTGTGCAGGCAGCCGGGTCCGGCCGAGCAGCGGATGTGAGGGATGATTCAGGGCTGACAGGAAGCCCGCCGCCTCGCCCACTGCCCGCCAGTATCCGCGGTGTCGGCGTCCGCTCAGCAGGTGTGCCGGCTCGGCATGAGGGCGCCGCAGTGACAGGCCCCGGCTCTCAGGTGAGTCTTCCTCGGCAGTGCCCGGGGCCCGGCCCGGCCCGGCGTGGGGGGCCCCGAGGCTGCCTCCCACCAACCCTCCACGGGGGTGGGAATGGCCCTACGGGGCCTGCGGGGGGGCTGGGGGGTTGGGAAGTTGCTAGAATATCTGGCTCTCCCTCACTTGGGCCCCTGGCTGGGGACCCTCCTCTCGCAACCCTGCTCGGGTCTGGGGCTCCAGCACTTTCCCACCCTCGCCTTCCCCAGCCCAGCCTACACGGGCCTGGCGGGGGGGAAATCTCGTGGCAGGAGTAGGGGGGGTCTCATTGCTTCCAGAGACCCGGTGAGGGGCCAGACCCATGAGCCTTGGTTTCTTCATCTGCGAAATGGGACTGAAACATCCCTGCCGCTAGGCTGTGGGAGGACGGGTGAGACTCTCTGGGCAAGTGTGCCCAGAGCCCGCCCCAGACCAGAGGGAAGCAGCCTTCCCCCTACGCCGCCGCCCCTGCCCTGCCCCAGCCTGGCCCACCAGCCCTCGGCTGCGGAGCTCCTTGACCCCGGCCGCCACCCTCCCCCACCTCTGCCCCAGGACCAGGGCTGCCCGGGCCCCCGCAGTGGCCACCTGAGCCTCCGGAGCCTCCATTAGAGGCCCCTGGGTCAGCCTCAGCTGAAGGCCTAGATGACGGGGGAAACGGAACAGAGCCCGGCAGATAAACCCCCCCAGGGCTCGGACCCAACCTCTTTCTCCTACCCCATAGGCCACCCTGTGGCCCAGGGAGGCCTCCTTCCGCAGGTGCGGCCTGAGGCGGGCTGGGAGTTGGGGCAGGAGGGTCTCTGAGGGCCTTTCCCGCTGGCCCGGCCCAGCCCCGAGGGCTTTCCCCCAGCTCGGCTGTTGCAAACTTTGTTCATCTGAAAACTGCGTACTTCCCTTTGTGCTATTTTGGCCTGTGTACCACGGCCTGTGGCCGCCTAGCTCCCCGCCCGACCCAGCCCTGCCTGCCCCTTGGGGCCCTTCTGGGGGCTCAGCCTCCTCCCCTAGCCCTCTTCCGCCAGCTCAGAACCTGGGTGGGAAAGCCAGGCCTGGAGGCAGGTTGCCTCCGTCTGGGGGCCGCCGACGGCCTGTTCCTCAAATCGGTCTCTCTTTTAAAAAAGATTTCATGGTTCTTACAAAAGGTAATACAAGACAGTGGTCAAAGAGCAGGGAGGGCCTTGGGGGTCGGCCTGGCCCAAGCTTGGGGATCCTGGCTCCGGGATTGGCTCGCTGGATGAACTTGGACCAAGTACTCCCTCTCTGGACCTCGCTCTCCCTCCCCGGCATCGCCCACGGTGTGTCTTGGTGTGTCTGGGACAACGGAGGGGCTGGGGCGGATCCCAGCCTACCCTGGGGTCCCGGCGTGATGGCCCACGTGCGGGGTAGGGGGCCGGTGGAGGGAGGCTCAGGCCCGCGTGCAGGGGTGGGGAACAGACAGGGATTCTCTGATAAGGTTGTTGCAATGCCCACCTCCTAGAGGCGGCCCCGTCCCCTTCCACAGAGACCCTGATGACGGCAAGTCACTGTAGCCATCCAGCCGTGTCTCCCCCACCTTCGTGCCTCATGACAGACCTGAGGGATGCATGTCATTATTTCCCTGCTCCATCCTGAAGGCCAGCGATGATAGACTTAATGGCGGAGGTCCCCTCGGCGCTCTCGTGCTCGCCTCTCCTCTCTCCCCCGTGCCAGGCGGGTGGGGTGGACCTGGCCTAGGGGGCAACTGGCCCCTGCTGCTTGTCCCAGGAGAGCAGGGGCATCCAGGAAGCAAGAGGGCTCTCTGGGGGCCGGGATGCCCTGGGATGGTGGGCCGCCCTTCCCCGGGACGGCGGCCTCAAGGGCCAGGCCTCGGGAGCATGAGGGAGTTCTCCAAACCAGAAACAGGGGCCTGCACAGGCTTCTCTCCGGGAAGCCCAAAAGCAGAGCCAGGCTGCTTATCATCTGCCAGCAGTTCTTTGGGAAAGGCCCTGGGTTGGTCCCCATTTTACAGATGAGAAGACTGAGGCTAACAGATCCCGAGGCACAGGCAGAAGTCCTCCCTCCACCGCCCGGTGCTCGCAGCCCTGCACCACCTCTAGGGCCCTTGGGCTGCGGCTTGAGGCCCAGCAGAGAGCCTGCCCCAGTGTGGCCTTGGTGGGTGGAAGCAGGAGGCTGTGCAGGCTGGGGGACAGGGTCCAGTCCCTGAGCACAGGGGTTCCCCACGGATGCCCTCCTATCCCATCACGAGGTTTGGGAATTCTGGAGTTCCCGCTGACTCACTTGGTGTTCGAGGAAGGAGAGCCGACTTCACTGGGACAGCCCCGATGGGGGCTCAGTGTGGCTCAGGCCTCCTTGTCATGTGTGCCATGAGGGCTCAGGAAGCTCAGGGAGGTGAGGGGGACAGCCCAGTGCAGCCGAGGCCTCAGGGGAGCCCAAAACAGGAGCTGGGCAGTACAGAGCTCAGCTTCTCCCTGCGCCTCGCCTTTCCCAGCTGTAAAGTGGGGAGAAGCCCTCCTCCCGGGGGGCCGAGCCTGCAGAAACAGACATGCACAGAGGGGACGCTCCTGGGGCAGGGCTTCCTCGGAAACCCCGCTATGGCCCTCAGTTGTGTCCCTGGCCACAGCCAGGAGACTGACTGGGTCTCTCGGGATGCCAAGATTCTCCTTGGAAACCCCCACAAGAGGGCTGTACTTGTCCTCCCTGGCCTGGGTGTGTGGCTGCCTATGGCTCGGTCAAGGACAGGCCATCACAGCTTGGCTCCTCCACTGGAGCCGGTCACTGACCCAGCAAGGGCCCATTGCCAGGCTGGGTTCCGAGGCTCCTTTCCCCGCAGGGTCCCCCCTCCCAGCACATCCCACCTCCACCAGCCCTGGGCAGCCCACCCAGTCTCTCCCCAGAGCACCCTTCTTTCCCTACCGCCCTCAAGAACCCCTCGGTGTTTAAAGAACGAAACCCCAGGAAGCCTGGGTGGCTCAGTCGATTAAGCGTCTGCCTTTGGCTCAGGTCGTGATCTCAGGGTCCTGGGATCGAGCCCCGCATCGGGCTCTCTGCTCAGCGGGGAGTCTTCTTCTCCCTCTGCCTGCTGCTCCCCTGCTTGTGCTCTCTCTGTCCCTCTCTCTCTGACAAATAAATGAATGAAATCTTAGAAAGGAAGGAAATCCCACTCCCAGCTCCCCTGAGAGGCATGGAGAGGGACAGAGAAGTGCCCTGGGGTGTGTGCGGGCTCCCAGGTCTCCTGTATGGAAGGGACCAAGGACTGAGGTCAGGGAGCAAAGCTGGGTTTGCAGGAGGCAACAGGTGAGGCAGTCCGGAGACTGGAGTTGGAATCCCGTCTTTCTCCTGTGCAGCCGGGATCCCCAGCCTCAGTTTCTGTATCTGTGAAATGTTGGGAGCCTCTCCCGCCACGGGTGGTTGTGTAGATTAAGCGAGGGCACTTTGGGACATATACACATGGGGCGGTCTGGTGGGTCCCCAGAACCTTCCAGCACTTACCAAGTGTGGGGGATGGCCCTGGGGGCCCGGGATGGAGGTCTGGGCTCAGATGGGGGCGCAGGCCTGGCTGTGGCCTGACTCAGTCCTCGGACAGGGAGGGGAGATAGTGCTCCCATGGCCTGGCTCCACTGCAGGGCTGTCAGGGGCTGGGGGTGACAGACACCCGACAGGGTGGGGCTTGGGGGGCTCTGGAGAGCTGGTCACAGGGGGTCCTACGTTGCAGCACTGCCGGACATGTGGCCAGGAGTGGACATGAACGTGGAGAGCGAGCTGCTGTGGCCCGGGGTGGCCCTGTTGCTGCTGCTGGGGACGGTGGCCAGCTTGTGTGTGCGCTGCTCCCGCCCAGGTAAGGGCACATGGCGGGGACAGGGGTGGGGTCCCCAGCCCTGGCTGTGGTCCAAAGGCGGTCAAACAAGTTTCACAAGGCAGGGAGGAGAGCCCTGAACCACCCGTGAAGACGGTGGGTCTGGCTCACTGTGGGGCTTTGGTTTTGTTGCGGCTGGGAATATTCTGGAAAAACGGGGTTGGGGGGGCTGCTGTGCTGCCTGCAGCATCCACCTTCTCCAGGCTCTGCTCTCCTAATAGCAAACATCCTATCCATGACGGGTGGCCCACAGGGGTGGGCGGGCCAGCCCCCACGTCCCATCCGAGGCCTGCCCAGGGCACAGGAGAGACAAGAGGAGGGGGGATGTCCGATCTCAGTTCCCACCCCAGCCTGGGGTCGCTCGCTAATCCGGGCTTGTTCTTGCAGCGGTGAAGAAGTCTGAGAAGATCTATGAGCAGAGGAGCCCGTGAGTGTCTCAGTGTCCCCAGCCCAGGGACTTTGTGTCCCCTGACTGTGGGCAAGCACATAGGCTTCCCCTCGTGTTGTCCACGCACCTCTGCCCTCAGCCCTCGCTCCCGCCGCCTCCACACTGGGCTCTAATGGGTCCAGAGCAGTTCAGGGAGGGAGGGAGGGACGGAGGGAGGAACCCGCGGGGCTCTCCACGCACTGTCCCCTCTTCCCTCCCCACCCCAACCTGGGCCCGGGAGAGCTTTGGGGAAATGGGGTGCCACTCTCTGGCGGGCCCCCCTCTATCTCCAGAGATCCACCCTCTGCCCCCAGCCTGGGGGAGCCCACCGGGCTGGTGCTGGGGCTTGACAGAGAGCCCTGCCCTCCCCGGCAATGTGGGGAGCAGAGACCGGGCACAGAGAAAATGTGAGCCACGCACAAGTCTCCCTGGAAAAGGCCAGCCGAGCTCTGGGAGGACGTGGTGGGCTGTCCTCGGGGGCTCGGGAGGAAGGCCTGAAGGGGGAGGTGGGGAGGATGTTAAGAAAGAAGGCAAAAAGGGACATGGCAGGGAGAGAACGGGGTGGGTGGTTCTCCCTGCAGGACTGGGGTGGACACTTTCTTCTGGGGACAAGGTGGCACGTGTGGGCATATCTGGAGAGGCGTGAGATGGATGAGGAGGGAGGAGAGCCTCGACTGTTGGGGAGAACCCATGGCCTCTGTCCTAAGGGCAGAGGGGAGCCACAGAGGAGCTGGGAGGAAGGAGGTAGGGGTAGAGAGGAAATGGGGTGGGGGGGTTCACTGACCCCAGGCCAGGCAGTGGGGTCCGGGCGGGATGGAGCTCCAGGCACCCCCGGGGCTAGCGAGCCACTCTATGTATGAGCCCTGGGAGGGTCAGCCGTGCTGGACACTGCCAACCACCACTGTGGCCCAAGGACAACCCAGGGAGGGAGGAGGGCCGCCACTGGTGTCCTTGCACTGAGCAGAAAAGTGACCGACGGAGCGCCTGGGGGCCTCTGAGACCTGCGTGCGACATGCACACGGGCCAGCACGCCTGCTCACACCCACCTGCCACCCCCCCATTGCTGTCCAGGGGAGCGCTCCTCTCCCTGCTGCCCGTGGTGTGTGTGTGTGTGTGTGTGTGTGTGTGTGTGTGTGCACGCGCACGCGCACACACACTCTCGCCAGGGGAAGGAACTCACGTACAAATGCACACACACACCCTTTCTCATTTCCTTTTGCAACTGAAAAGCCACAATGAAGTTTGAAAATAGAATGTCCCCATCCATGCCCACCCCTGGGGCCGGGGCTGGGCTTTTTCAGGCTTTTCTGGCCACTTGGTCCTCCAGATGACCAGCCTACGGTCTTCACTGGGGCTGCCCCCCACCGCCCCGCCCCTGCCCCCAGGCAGGCCTCCCTAGTCTCTCCTCCTCTCTGCCCTCCTCTCTCAGTGCCTGCCCACTCCGGGCCTCTGATCGATGATAGAAACATAGGCTGTTTGAGCCAGAAATGAAACCACCTCATAATGGGAAGTGGAAGGCTGGGCCTGGGCAGGAGGAAGCCGCGGGGGCAAACTTGGGTTCTCCCCACTTCTCTTGGGTTGAGTTCTGCCCGTGCAGTTAGGACATCCTTCCTAAATCAGGTCACCCTGACCCCTCCCCAGGCCCCCTACACCAGAGCTCCTGGAAGGCTGGGCCAGGTGCCCCTTCTGGTCCAGAGGAGGAACCCAAAAGGCTTTAATGTCTAGCTAATCTGCTCTACCATCCTTAGCAGTGGCTTCCATCCTCAAGGGGACTTCACGCTCCAAAATGGCAGCTAGAGCACCAGTCCTCACCTGTGTGTTCCAGGCAGTAGTAAGAAGGAAGGACAAGGACAAAAAGGGTGCACTTCTGTTGGCAATGCCTCCTCTAAAATCCCAACAATCTTGGCTTGCGTTTCATTAACTAGAGCTTAATCACATGGCCACACTCAGGCACGAGAGAGGCTGGAAGATACAGTCTTCTAGATGGACCTATATAAAAATCCATTTCAGAGGAGGAAGGAAATGCCGGGCATGGCCAGCTACCTTGCTGTGTCTGCTAAGCCTTGAAGTTACCTCGCCAGTTATGTGGGAGTGAATGGTGTGTTTGAACCTCTCAGGAAGGCTGGTTACCCTCTGGTTGATGTCCCTGAAGAGTCGCCGGACCCTCACCTCAGAATCAGAGGGCCACTGCCCCAGCCCTGCCCACAGCCCTTCTGGACCATCTCCGGGGGTCCTGGGGAGGCCGTGGAGGCTGCTGGCTCCAGCTCGGGGCTGTACGAGAAGCGTGGACGCCCGGTGGGCAGGGTTGGGGAGCAGTCCAGAGAATGGGGGCTTCGGGGAGCCCTGGATCTGGGGCCCAGAGAGGGGTCAGCTCCTCCTCTCTCTCTTGCCCTGGTCTGCCCCTCCCCACTCTGGTCCTCGTCCCTGTGTCTCTTCTGTCTCTCTGTCCCTTGGGCTGTGGGGGGCCAGGCCCTGGTTCAGCACAGCTCCGTGTTTTTCCAGGGAGGAGGACCAACAGAACTTTGCAGTGGCCCGGACCTATTCCTGTGAGTCCCCGAACCTAAGGGTCCAGGGACGAGGCTCAGGGTTGGGGTAGTCCATCTGGGGACTGCGGCCAGGCCCGATCTCGTGGCATGGGGGGACGGCGCTGGCAGGCTGGCCTGGGGGCCCAACCAACACCCCTTTGTCTTTTGCAGTGGTCAGGCAAGCCTGGCCTGGGGCCCTGGTGGACATGGACTCCGACGTGGCCCTAACAAGGTAGGACTAAGCGCCCTATCCCAGGCCAGGAGGGGTCACAGCCCCATAGGAGGCCATGGGAAGGTCCCCACCTGGCTGAGCTCAGGCCAAGCCCTTGGACCTCGGAGCCCCAGAGCTGGACAGTGAGGTTCCCACGAGGCCGTGGTTCCGAAACCCTGGGGCCTCTTCCCCACCGGCCCCCCTCAGCCCCTCCCTCGCCCTTTTCCTGCAGGAAGGACAAGCTGCTGCGCTTCTCCCCCAGCCTCGAGGGTGAGTGGGCCTCAGACACAGGGGTGGGGCAGGGGTGAGGCGGGCTTGAGGCAGGTGAACATCACGTGGGACAGGTGCCGCGCGGGGAGGCCCAAGGGCCCGGGGGAGTTGGGCCAGGAGGGCCCGGGGTTGGCCTGGCCGGGGAGGAGGCGGAGAGCAGGTGTGAAGGTGGGAAGGCAGGAAACACCTGGGCCCTTGGAGGCCCTTCCCTGGGGCGGGGGTGGGGCGGGGGCGGGAGGAAGCCGTGAGCCCAGCCCAGCCTTTCTTCCAGATTCTGAGTCCTCCAGGTACCAGAACTTCAGCAAAGGTGGGTGGGATCCCGGGACGCGGGGGCTGCGGTGGGGCCCGAGGTCCGAGCGCTCAGGCCTGACCCTTGCCTCCTCCTGCAGGGACCAGACTCGGACCCAGATCTGGCCCTGATGCGGCCCACACGTGAGTGGCCTTCTCTGGCCGGCGCCTCCCCCCTCCCCTCTCACCCCCAAACGTCCTCCCTCTAGGAAAGCTTCCTGCCCTAGAAGCCACGGGGGGGCCGAGGAAGGTGCTCGGTAGCCCACTTCCCCTCATGGGGCCATGTCCCTCCTTTGTGGGGACAGGGATGTGGCCCGGCTCTAGGGCATCACCCAGAGATAAGTTCCATGAATCTCAGAGAGCAAGAATCAGGGATGTCTCTCTGTCTCACGGATGGGTCACCTGAGGCCCAGGGAAGACGGAGACTTGCCTTGAGTCACCAGTCAGGCCAACTGGAGCCACACGGGGTGGCGGCTAGAGCATCCGCCATGACCCCCTCGGCCCAAACCCCGGCCTGCCCAGCCACCTCTGTGTCTGTGTCTTCTTGCCAGAGACCCCATTTCCATGGACTATTACAACTGGGGGCAGTTCTGGAAGCCCCAGGAAGGTGAGGGGGAGGAGGCAGGGAGGAGGGGGCTGGGGAACGGGGGGACGCAGGCGGTGGGGGCAGGTGCCCCAGAGCAGAGTAGGGAAGGGGTGTGTGTGGGAGGCAGGGAGGGGAGAAAGCAGCAGAGGTGAGGGAACAAGAAGGGGAGCTGGGAGGAGGTAGCGGGGGGAGTCTGAGTCCCTCGTCACTCAGGGGCCCCCTCAGGGCTGGGCAGCCCCTGATGAATGCTGTGGGACCTCGGAGGAAGGCCCCGGGCCAGGCAGCCATGCTGATACTCGGAGCCCTACAGGCTCTAAGGAGGCTGGGATCTTTGGACCTTAACACCTCAGCTTTAGGAAGGAGAAACTAAGGACCGAGGCGGGCAGGGCCTGCTGGGAGGAGCTCAGGTCCAGGCTTGAAGCCCACACCCACCCCAGGCTCCTGCCTGGGCCACCCTGGGCTGCAGGGGTGGGGCACATGGCAGGCAGAGAGAGGGGTCCTCTTCTCCCCACCCCACCCCTGCTGAATATGGGAGGGACCCTCCTCCCTTGACGCCGCTTTGGCACAGATGGCTGCCACCCGGTGGCGCAGCAGTTGGAGCTCAGCTTGCAGGGGCGACGAGGGGGTGCCAGGCTCTGCTAGGCCACACTCCGCCTAGGCCCACCCTGCCTGCCTGAAGGTTAGTCTTTAGGACAGCCTAGGCCTGCTTCCTGTCTCTCCTCGGGCCCCCAGTGGCTTGCCCTGCCCCTCCCTGCCCGGTAGCAATGGGCCTTCCTCCCTCCAACTGTCCAACTGCCTGATTGCAAACCCGCCCCTCATGTCCCCTCCCCCCGTGCATCTGGGGTGAACTTGGAGGACCAGGAAGGAGCCCAGGGTGGAGGCCACTGGAGCCAGGCCAGCGTCCACTAAGAATCTTGTCCAGGAGAATGTTCCGAGACCCCGTGGGGGACACATTGGGTAGGGGGCTTGGCAGGACAGGCCAAGACAGGATGGAGGGAGGAGGAGCCAGGCCCGCCGGGCAGGGCCCCCCAGCAACCTGACCCTCACCCCTTCCCTGGCAGATGACGACAACGAGGATGCCAATTCCTACGAGAACGTGCTCATCTGTACGCAGAAGGAGCCCGACTCAGGTGAGGCTGCGGCCCGGGGACTGGGCAGGGAGGCCGGCCTCCTGTGCTGGGCCCACCTGTGCCGGTCAAAGTCACCGCCCGCCTCCAACCCAGAAGGTTCACCCTTTGCAGGAGCACCTGGGTGAGGCCCCAGGGGTCCCGGCCTCAGTGAGCATGCGCAGACAGGGTGCCTTCTTCCCCTGAGGGGCCCGACGACCAGCCACAGCGGCGGCCGCCTGTGCCAGCCCCTCTCCCGGGGTCTCCTTGCAGGTGACGAGGGATCGGAGGACTACCAGAACTCCGCATCCATCCGGCAGTGGCGGGAGTCCAGGAGGGCTGTGGGTATGTTGGGGGAGAGCAGGGGCTCCGGACTGGGGGGGCCTGGCCTGGGAGGATCGGGCAGGTGGGGTGTGGGGAGGGAGGGAGCATCGGTCGTGGGTGGGGGGCTGGCCTGGGAGGATGGGGGCCGGGCAGGCTCCCCTGCAGCTCTTGTAGCTGATTTCACAATGCAGCCTCTGGTCCATCCGTGGCCACCGTGGCCTGGAACCATGCCAGGCCCCCTGGGTGGAGATCTCTGGCAAACCCCAGAGATGGGACCGGTGCAGTGTTCTGTGTAGCATTTCCTGTAGGCTGTTCTGCGGCATCTGGGGGCCTGGGCCCGAGCCCCTGGCCGGGGGAACAGGTGTGGGTGTGTCCACATGACCCGTCTGCCCCCCGTCTGCCCCCCATCTGCCCGCTGGTCCACAGAGCGAGCCCCGAGGGAAGAGCCTCTGACCCTGGCAGGCAGCCCAGATGAGGACGGCGACGACCCCGATTACGTGAATCAGAGTGTGGCAGCCACAGAAGCCTAGGAAGGCTCTGGAAGGAAGGTACGGCCACTCCTCTCCAGTGGCCTCCGCCCAGGGTGGTGGACCTCACAGGCCTGAAGGGGCCCCATCCCATCCCAAGGGAAAAACAGGGCTGGTGAGCCACGGCGGGGGTCAAGGGGTTGCACCCATGGGTGCTGAAATGGCGGGCTCTGGAGGGTGTTGGGACTGAGCTCCTGAGCTGTCTGTGCCCACCCTGCCCCCAACACCACGGCAGGCCTGGTGACGTCACAGCCCCACGGCAGCCACAAGGGCCTCAGTCCTCTGTCGGGGGTGTCAGGCCGAGGCAGCTGGAGAGTTGTGGGGTGAAGGGTGGGCCCCGGGGAGCTCTCTGCAGCCTCGAGCGAGGGACTTAACCTTGTGGGTTAACCCTGTGGGCCTCTTTCCCTCACTTGCAAAATGGAGCAAATGGGACACAGCACGGGAAGGACACAGGGGTGGGGGTGGGACTGGGGGGTAGAGGACGGCGTCCGTGGGGGTCGCGGCTGGACCTGCTTGGGCTCCCCAAACGCACAGGGCACTCAGCCTCCCGCCCCGGGGCCCACTTAGAGTCAGGGAGCTGCTGGGGCCCCGGCTGTAACACGGCGCGGGAGGCGGGACTGACCCCAGAGGGTTCTTGAAGGCAGGCGGGTGGGCAGCTCCTGGGCTGGGAGAGGAGGCCTCGGAAGCATGAGCCCACCGCTCACGCACTCCCCGACAGCTCCCGGGCCTCTCCGGGGGGCCAGTCAGCCTCAGGTGCTGGGGACCCAGCAATGAACGAAATCCACCCATGGGCACCCGGAGGGTGCGTCTCTTGATCTCAGGGTTGTGAGTTCGAGCCCCACGTTGGGTGTAGAGAGGAGTTAAAATTAAAATCTTTCTTTTTTTTTTTTTTTTAAGATTATTTATTTATTTATTTGACAGAGAGAGATCACGAGTAGTCAGAGAGGCAGGCAGAGAGAGAGGAGGAAGCAGGCTCCCCACTGAGCAGAGAGCCCGACGTGGGGCTCGATCCCAGGACCCTGAGATCATGACCTGAGCCGAAGGCAGAGGCTTAACCCACTGAGCCACCCAGCCGCCCCTAAAATTAAAATCTTGAAAGAGAAAAACACCTACCCAAATCCCTGAGCATTCAGGGCGTCACTCTGGTCAAAGCGAAGACACAAGATGGCTGTGGGCTGAGAGGGAGGACAGGAAGGACAGGTAGCATGTGAGGGAGTGATAAGCTCCACAGAGACAAACCCACAGGCAGGAGGCCGCGGACAGCGGGGCTGGGGTGGCCAGAGCAGCTGGGGGTGCTCCCTGCCTGCCCCGCGGGGGGTGGGGGGTGGGGAAGGATGTGCAGGGGGGCAGAAGCGCGCCCAGAGGGTCTGACAACAGGGGAGGGGGCAGCCCTGGGTGGGGGGGCGGCCTGGGATCCTGGGAATGGGATCCTTGGCTACCGGGAAGGGAAATGAATTCAGGGGACAGCAGAGACCAGTGAGAATCCAGGTAAAGGGTGGAAGCAAACATGCATAGAGTTTTCTTTTGTCTCAGATTTTTTTAAGTTTATTTATTCTGAAGTAAGTTGAACACCCAACATGGGGCTTGAACGCACAACCCCAAGATCTAGAATCACACGCATTCCCGACTGAGCCAGCCGGGCGCCCCGTCTCCGTGTATTTCTGAAATGTCTTCTTGATGGCTTCGTCGACCCATCGGATCTCTGGTATCATGTTGGTTGACCTCCACGTGACTGCATTTTTCCATTTTTTTGGTGATTTCTGGCTTCGTCACCTTGTGGTTGGAAAAGATGTATGGTCTGATCTCGATCTTCTTACGTTCACTGAGCCTTGTTTGGTGGCCTCACAAGCGGTCTGTTCTGAAGAATGTTTCGCGTGCACTTGGAAACAATGTATTATTGTTTGGATGGAATGTTCTGTGTTTTCCTGTGATGTCCGAAATGGCAGCTGTTTTTTTGTCTTTTGTGGTTTTTTTTTATTTTTTATTTTTATTTATTTATTTTTAAAGGTTTTATTTATTTATTTGACACAGAGAGAGATCACAAGTAGGCAGAGATAGAGGGGGAAGCAGGCTCCCTGCTGAGCAGAGAGCCTGATGCGTGTCTTGATCCCAGGACCCTGGGATCATGACCTGAGCCGAAGGCAGAGGCTGCAACCCACTGAGCCACCCGGGTGCCCCTGGCGGCTGGTTTTGAAGGCGGATCCCATGGGATTCACTGATGCGCTGGGCGTTGGAGGCCAGGTAGAGAAGAGCCATGGGCTGCAGGTCTTTTGGCTGGGCGACGAGAGGATGTCACTGTCCCCAGTGAGAGGCTGTGGGCAGGGCAGGCCTTGTGGGAAAGCCAGCTTATTTCTGGACCTGTTCGGCTGGAGCTGCCCACGCGGGGAGAAATTTGTAGCGGTCAGCTGGACAGCAGAGCCTGGACTGAGGGAGAGGCCAGGCTGGAGACAGACGTGAGCTATCATCATTGAGAGTGACAACTGTCAGCCCCTGGGGGAGCAAGGCCGGGAACAAGGGCCAACCCTGAGGCCCGAGGCTGGGAGGTGAAGCAGAAAGGGCAGCGTCCTGGGCCGGAGGAAGGCACTTGGGAAGGGTGTGAGCAGGCACAAGGCAGGCGGAGATGCACTGAGCACGGGTGGGTGCTGGTGAGATTCAGAGGTGGTGGGGGAAGAGCTTGCTTGTGTTCGGAACACAGGAGCCCCCAGACGGGGAGTGAACATTCCAGAAGCTCCGCTTCAGAGGGGAACAGAGATGTGGGGCAGGTTTTTGAGCTGTAAGGTGGGTTGGTTCAAGCTTGGGGTCTGGCCGAGGTTGGACCTGGCTCGTGGGTGCTGTCCCACTCCGGGGACTGGACGCCACAGGCTGGCATCTGCAGTGGCCTGCTGAGGGCCAGAGGGACCCGATCTCTGGGTTCAATGAAGTGGAAGGTTGGCTCGGTGAGGCAGAAATGGGGCTGAGTTAGAGCTGATGCTCCTGGCAGGTCGCTTCTGGGTTGGAGGGGAAGGTCAGTCACCAGTCCTGTGCTGACAGACCCCAGCCTTGGCCAGGATCCACGAGCACAGGAATTTAGGAGGGAAAGAAGGCTGCTTGGGGCGCTGAGCCTCTGCCTTTGGCTCAGGTCATGATCTCAGGGTCCCGGGATCAAGCCTTGCATGGGGCTCTCTGCTCAGCAGGGAGCCTGCTTCCCCCTCCCCCTCTGCCTACTTGGGATCTCTGTCAAATAAAATCTTTTTTTTTTTTTTAAAGATTTTATTTTATTTATTTGACAGAGAGAGATCACAGTAGACAGAGGCAGGCAGAGAGAGAGAGAGAGAGAGAGGGAAGCAGGCTCCCCACTGAGCAGAGCCCGATGCGGGACTCGATCCCAGGATCCTGAGATCATGACCTGAGCCGAAGGCAGCAGCTTAACCCACTGAGCCACCCAGGCGACCCAAATAAATAAAATCTTAAAAAAAAAGAAAGGAGGCTGCTCGATGGGCAGGTCCTTCTCAGCCTGGCTGCAGGAAAGTGGCTGAGCATTGACCATCACCATGCCTCCCTCACCGACCGTGACCGTGACCTAGCCATCCCGGCGCCAGGGTGGGGGCGGGGAAGAAAGTGCTAGTCCAGGCCACCTTCTCTCTTCTAACAAACCTTTTCGGTCTTCATTAAGGAGCCGAGGGAGCCACTAGGTTGAGGGCTGTTCACTGCCTCCCCTGGGGTCACTTCTCTCTCGGGAGCTGCCCAACCTCTAGACGCCCCACGGTCACTCCTGGGAGATGCACCGAGACATCCAGAGGACCATCCGTCAGGCCGTGGGGGGCCGGCCGGGGACAGGACGGTTATGCGGGGAATCAGCCCCTGGCCCGGCTTCTGCGAGAGCCCAAGTCTGAGGGCAGCGTAGCTTCTGCCCTGACCGATGCTCCGGGGTCAAGGCAAGCGGCCTTCCTGTCCCCACGTCTGAAAAAACACTGCGTTGTCACTGGGATTCCTGTGCCTTTTTGCTTCGGATTCAGATTCGAAATTGCTGACTCGTGTCAATGGCTGGGATCTTTTTTGTGAGCCGTGGACGTGTACAGTTAATTTATGTGGGTGGAACCGTATTTAATCATCTACATCCCCGGGTGCAGAATGTCGTCTGTCTCATCTCCTGGAAGCATTACACGTCATGGCTGCTGTCGGGGGGGCCCCGGAGCCCCATTCTTCGGGTTTCGGTCCACTTGGAAGCGGTGAGGCTACAGGACAGCCCTTCCGTGGGGACGTCCGTGTGGGCAAAGCACATGATGTTTCTGGAGAAGGAGCAGCGCAGAGCGGCTGAGTGGCGCCCCTCTCCGTTGTCCCCGAGTCCTCCCCGGCCCCAGGACTGGACTCACTGAGCTGAGCAGGAACACAACTGCCTTGTGGGAAGCACAGGGGCCCCCGGGGACTTTCGGAGGCAGATAAAGCCACAGCCAGAGGGACTAGATGTTTCCTTCGACTGAAACGTCTCAATAAAGCCTGTTCTTACTAGCGATTCTCGTGTCTGCATTTCCTGCTTCGTGCAAAACCTTCCAGGGGAGCGGAAGTCAAGCCTCTTGCCTAATGGAAAAGGACACTGAGGCCCTGAGAGAGAGAGAAGGAGAGCGAGCGAGAGCTGGGGACAGGAACCTGGTCCTGGAGGCCACACTTTCCAGGGCGCTACACTGACTTTCCAGAGTTAATGCCATCAGTTAGGAAATGAGAAGGAAAAACAGAACACAGCTGCTGGCCCCTTGTTCCTTCCCACCCAGTGTCCCGATCTCCCAGGCTCAGAGACGCAAGGGGTACAGTGGGGCTACGGAAGGGGGTCTGGGCGGGGAGGAGTCCGACCTCCACGGTTACGGGGTGTGCGGCACAGACACGCGCCTCTGGGCCCTGGCCCTCCCCTGCAAACTCACAGGGATCACGAGCCTCCAGATAAGGGTAAGATTGGGAAATGTCTTAAATGTTTTTTAAAACCTTACTTTGCCATTTTTGAGGACCTTAATTCTTCCCCACCACCTTTTCCTAAAAAAAATTTTTATGTATTTGAGAGCAAGGGAGAGAGTGGGGGAGCATGAGCAGGGGGAGGGGCAGAGGGAAGGGCAGAAGCAGGCTCCCCACGGAGCAAGGAGCCCAACGTGGGGCTCGATCCAGGACCCTGAGATCATGACCTGAGCCGAAGGCAAGAGTCGGACACACCTGACTGAACTACCCTGGCGCCCCCTTTTTTCTTTCTACTTTTATGTACACCAGCATTTTTTTGTAATTTAAAAAACGGGGAAAAAATTGTACCTCGTGGGGGAGAAACAATCATACAAGGTAATAGAAAATTTACTGGGGAACAGAGAAGGCCAGTGGGCAGGTGTCACACCACTGTCCCCGGTGACCCCTGCCGGTCCTCTCTGAAGGCCTCACTGTCCCAGGCTGTTCTGGGACGTCCGTCTCCATCCCATACCCCATAGAACTGTCCTCTAGGCTTCTAGAAGCACTGAGATAAGTGTCACCAGCTTAGTCTCTCCATCACCTGTTCCACTTGCCAGACGCTGGGGACACTCAGAGACGGGATGCCGGTTTTCCTTGTGGCCTGGCGACGCCACCTTAGCGCCGACAAAACCATACAGCATTTTTATTAACGAAGATGCCACATAAGCCCAGGTCGGGTGCCAAGCCCTGAGGTTCTCTGGGCCCCTGTCACCCTGTCACCACGTTTGTGAGTCGGAGGCTGACTGCAGACACTCATGGACGTGGAGTGAAGGCCACGGTCGAGGGCAGCCTTCTTTCCAGATGGGTAGGCACTGACTCCTGTCTCTCGCCGATGAGGATTCTCAGGACCCTCATCATCCCGAGCAACGAGTTCTCTTGCCCTAACTGGCCACCGGGGCCATTGTCTTCTGACACAGCCTGGCCAGGAGCCCTGCCATCTGCAGGAGAGAGTTCACGCCTTCTGCTATCTTCATATGCGTGTATCCGATTTCCTGAAAAACAAAGCACACGTCAAGCTGGCTGGTAAGTGAGGGAGTAAAAGGTTTTTTCATTTGAACTAGTAGTTTCCTTAAAACTGATACAGCGAACTCAAATTTCAGCTGGAAAATGAACTCTGGGTTGTCATGGGTTTTGTCTAAAATTCAGTTTATTTTTTTCTAAAAGGATGTGGGTATTTCCCTGCCAGGGACGGTTAAGAAAAAAAACAAAAACAAAACCAAAAAGCCAGGCTTGAAGAAAATTTTAAAATCCTTAGAAAACACACGTCTGATAAAGGACTTGAAGCCAGGATATAGAAATAGGTCTCAAAACTCACTAAGAAGAAAATGACCCAACTAAGAACTCGGTGGATTTGAAGAGATGCTTCATTAAAGGGAACGGAGGGCAAATCACGTGCTGTTAACCGCTGGAAACACACCTTAAAGCCAGGACGAGGGGCGCCTGCGGGGCTCCCGTCAGTTGTGTCTGACTCTTGATTTTGGCTCAAGCCATGGTCTCAAGATCATGAGATTGAGCCCTGCGTCACGCTCCATGCTTGGCGCAGGGTCTGCCTGAGACTCACTCTCTCTCTCCCTCTCCCACTACAACCCCCCCCCCCCCCCCCCGTACTCTCTCTAAAAAAAAACAAAAAAAATCTTAAAAAAAAAAAAAAAAAATCAACCGAACACTGCCAGTGCTGGCTAGGCTGCGGGGCATCTGGAACGCTCGCTCGCCCCTGGCTGGGAGAAATGCACAAGCTATAGCCGCTTCAGAAATCGGTTTCCCAGTTTCTTAGAAAGTGAAACACACCCTGACCATTAGAATAAGCCATCCCACCTCCTGGGAAGTTGCCTGAGAAAAAGAAAAACGTATGTTCACATTCACACAGATTTGCATATGCAAATATTTACAGTGGCCTTACTGACGGTCACCCACACCCGGACCCGCCGGTGTCCTTCGAGCAGTGAACACACAAACCGTGGTTCGCCTCTCGGCAGTGAGAAGGAGCAACCCGCCGACAGACACAACACCATGAACAAACCCGAAATGCATTAAGCTAAGCAGACTCAAAAGGCTACCTTCTACTTGATTCCATGGTCATTTCCATGGGACATTCTGGAAAATTCTGTCCCGCCAGGGAGAAAACAGAGCGGTGGTTTCTGGCTGCTTGGGGAGCTGACTGGCTACAAAGGGGCACATGTATTTGGGAGGTGGGGAATCATAGAACCGGTCCGACCTTGGCTGTGGCCTTTAGGAGACCGAACACTTTTGTCAACAGAAGGTACCTGAGAGGCTCCGTTGTACTTTATGTCAATTATACCTCAATTAACCCGACCTTAAGAGTCAACAAACAAATCTTGGATGCAGAGGGCACCCCAGGCTGCTGACCAGCAGAACAGGCTTAAACCGGCTCCCAGCCCCAGGACCACCCGGCCTTGGGACACTCACTGAGCCCAGGGGCCAGGCCCCGGGAGCCAAACCAAGACACCGCAGCGTGGCCCCGTTCCCCAGGAGAGCCACTGCGAGACTCTCACCGACCTTGATGAACTCCAGTTTCAAGTACTCCGCCATCTGGAAGGTTTTACACACTCGAAAAATGTTGCCAATGATGTCTTCCGGAGAGTAGCCGAGATGCCACAGGTGAGCGAGAATCTAGACAGAGGAAGAAACGTTGGGTGACAAGGGTACTGGGGGGGAGCGAGGGGACGAGTCTTGGGCCCGTCACACAGCAGGGAGTGGACAGATCATCCTCGGCGACCCAGGATCCAGCAGAGCCACCGGGGGGCCACGGCCTTCAGCCCGCCTGGGGATCACTGGAGTTTCCCAACAGGCAGAGATTCTATTGCAAATGTTTTTTTATTTTTTTACTATTATTATTTATTTTTTACAGTGGGCTCCATGCCCAATGTGGGGGATCCCGAGATTAAGAGGCACATGTGAGGGGAGCCTGGGTGGCTCAGTGGGTTAAGCCTCTGCCTTCAGCTCAGGTCATGATCTCAGGGTTCTGGGATCGAGTCCCGCATCGGGCTCTGCTCAGCGGGGAGCCTGCTTCCTCCTCTATCTCTGCCTCTGCCTGCTTGTGATCTCTGTCAAATAAATAAAATCTTAAAAAAAAAAAAAAAAAAAGTATTCCAGGGTCGGGGCGCCTGGGGGCTCAGTCGGGTTAAGCAAATGACTCTTGGTTTCGCTCAGATCATGTTCTCAGGGTTCTGAGATCAAGCCCCGCAGCGGGCTCTGAGCTCAGCGCAGTCTGCCTGCTGCTCTCCCTCCACTCCTCCCCCTGCCCGCTCATGCCCTCCGTCTCTGTCTCATGAATAAAAGTAAAAATGCTTTGCATGGTCTCCTATGACACCCACGTCGTGGCTCTATTTTCGGGTCCTAAAAAGTGACATGAACCACGCCAGTGAGCACCGGAGGGGAAGCGGAAGCAGCATCTGCCTGCCTGGTGCTCCCTAAGGGCTGGGCTCAAGTGCGCCCCCTGCAGGCCGAGCCTCCACCAGGTCTCCACGGGAGCAGGGTCCTGGCCTCCTGGCCTGTCGGCGTCCAGGCCCGGGGTTCCAGCCCCCCTCAGCCCACTCAGGCGACTGGGTCTGGTGGGACGGGGTCTGGGGTCCCTTGTCTCGCCTTTGCTGTGGCATCTTGGGGTGGATGCAGGGGGCACGGAAGCTCTGGGTCCCTAAATCTGAAGGCTGCCTCTGGGTTGTGTGCCTGGGTCTCTGCCTCAGTCTCCCCACCTCGCCCTTTGGTGTTTACTTATTTTTTTATTTTCTATTTTTTTTTCACCCCTTGGTTTCGAATGACATCTGGCCCTGCCCTAAACCCAGCCCACTTCTGGCCTAGTTTGGTGGGAGCAAGGGGAGGGAAACCCGCTAGGATGGGACCAGTGGCCTTAAATTGTACCACTGCCACCCTTGGGGACCTGAGGGTCACC